GGGTTAAGTCCCCCTGTATCTCGTGTCCACGTCGAATCGGCCGTTTTTAGCCGTGAAGTCCCGCACTGACGCTAACTCGGTTATTTCGCGCGGAGTTTTCACCGTTTCACCGAATATGACGCGCATTATTCGCAACGGAGCGGCGAAGAGGAGGATGGGGGGAGGGGGGAGTGTTCCCTTCGCACACGTGTGCGCGAATCGACGGTGTCGATTGCGCCATTCGCTCGGAATATCACTCGGATATATTACGGTATTACATGCGGCCTTATTCCGTTGTTCGTTGCTTGACACGACGTAACTTCGCTCGCGGCACAGTTCGCGACGCGTTCGTACGTTACGTGCGTAGCCACGCGAAGCAGCGCGAATTTCCGGCGGATTAAATTCGAATCCGCATCGCCAGCCGTGCGCGGAATATCCCGGTATAAAACTGACGAATATCGCGGAGATATTGTTCGCAGCAACGTCTAGCGGGTCGTCGGGGTTTCAACGTTAATCTGAATGAGGAGGCGCGAAACCGGCGCGCTCGCGCGACATCGTTCTCTATCAGCGGAGAAATTCGCACGCGGTCAAGTCACTCCTTGGGAAATTGAATGTCGCTAGTCATTTCTTCTTCAGAGGGGGCAGAACTGCAGCGGAGGAGACGACGACGAGCGATCGCGGGATAACTCGCGGGAAGAAAAGGGGTTTATCGGTTTTCAATTTAACCATCGCCGCTTCAGTTCTTCCGCTCGCAATTGTCGCGAAAGTCCACGGCGACTGGCAGCGCGGCCTGCTCACACACGTACATCCCCTCTTCGCATGTAAACGTACACACACACACACGCGGGATATTGCACACACACGCGAACGTACAGCTCCACGTGAAGCTCTTAGCCCACTTCACGTTGCTTCTCGCCTCCTTTCGAACTTTTGTCATCGACAGCGCTCGCTCTCTCTCTCTCTCTCTCTCTCTCTCTCTCTCTCTCTCTTTCGGTAGAATAGTAGCCTCCGTTATGACCGCGCCGATATACCCATATAAAAATTTGTCCAGGTTTTCCCCCATATACAGTACAGATTTGGATTAGAATACTCAAAGTTGCCCCAAAATAAATTACCCCACTACGATACCAACTGGAAATTCTATTCTCCCCTCTCTAAAAAAGACAATATTGTTAAGTCAACATTCGAAATTATCGAAACCATTGTTGTCAATTTGCGTGCTAAAGAAAATAAAAATATTAAAATATTAAAGAACACGAAGAGCAGAGAAATAGATCTGATTTTCATTCGTATGAAGCCGACGTAGCGCGCATGTCTGAAAGACGTTTCAGGTATTCATAGTCGGATCTTATATTTAAGCCCGTACTGAGCTCACCTTCAAGTAGCCGATAAAATGAGTCCGTATCTGAGGATGTACTCGAGACGATCTTAAACGCGAGACTCGACGATGAATGTCGTCTTTAGAATCGCACGTTCGGAACATTACTCATCGGGGGATCCCCCAATGTGGATTCGCCAATTAGGATCCGCGATTATTTCGGCCAACTGGGACCCAATCAGATTCCCAAGAGATTTTCTACGCGGGCGCTATCTGCCGGGTGTCAAGTTGTATTTCACATATAAATGATTTTCCCCGCGAGTCTATCTCTCGGCACCTCGTCCGTCCGTCCGTCCTATCTACCTCTCTCCTGGCCTACCGTGGCGAGCGTGCCCCTAAAATATTTATGTGCGCAGATATCGAGGTTCGAGCGTCGCTCGATCGCCGCCACCACCGCACGCGAGAGCGCCGCGGACCGATTAATATCGGCCCGGTCAAATCGTGTTCCGATCGGTCGGGGGGGAAAAAAAACGAGAAGGCGGAAAAACAACGGAAAAAAGCTATTATATATACGGGACGCGCGTGCGTGCCGAGGGCGATTCGCGCGAGTCACCGCTGCGAATCGGTTTCGCGCTGAATTTCGCCGTGAATTTCAGAAATCGCGTCCCGTTAGGATTTAATCGGGCGTGAGTGTGTGCACGGTGCCTCGATCGACGGCGACGAGGACGACGACAAGAGTGGATCTCCTCGAGCACCGGAACTCTCTCTCTCTCTCTCTCCATCTCGGATCCCGGTGAGCACCGGCGGTGGAACAGGAAACGCCGCGAGTGCGCGGAGTGTGTCGGAGCCGTGTGCGAGGTGAAACCGACCGTGAGAGATTCGGTCGCACGCACGCGACCACGAAGGAGAGGAGAGACACCGTGAGAGAGTGAAAAGAGTCCGTGCGTGGCGCCGGCGGACCGATACAAGCGGCGTGTACGGCGCCCAACGTGTGGAAGCCCGGCAGAACCCGTTAAATGAATGTTGTTGCGGCGGGCGCTGGCGATCGCGACGGGCAAATCGAGGGGGCACGGCAGGATCGCTCGATTTAAATTCATAGATGTGCGAGCGGAGGGGCCGACAATGGTGGCCCGGCTTCCGCAACAAGTTCTGCTGCTGCTAGTACTCGGTGAGTAAGAACAGCCGGCGGCCGCGCGGCGAGCATGTCGCGGCTTCGATATATCGGTTTCCAGCCGACGAAATGCGAGTTGATGTCCGAGTCCCAAACCGAGGAAAGTTCCGTCGCGCCCACCGTTCTTTTTCTCCCAGGGATCGTCCCTCGAACTCGTTACATCCCTCTAAGACCCTGAACTGTGTGTGTTTTTTTTTTCTTTACTTGCAAACTTTTTGCAGGCGCTACTCTCTTCTCGAAACTACTTCTTGAAATTTTGGGGAAAAGTCACAAAAGATTTTCTCTGCGCTTTCCCCAGAAATCCACCGCCACGGTTGTGACGGCTGGGCATATAGTGAATTATGTATAGATACAATGTCTGACTATCACGATTGTGATGGTTGGAGTTTAGAGGGATACATATTCATGATTGAGGAATATTTACGAACGTCAGAATTTCTCGTGGACTTTTGTGTAGTCGGAAGGTAATTTTTCGTACATGTTGATTGAAGTATTTGGTATGTAAATTAATTTGGTGCTTTCGTTATCGAAAACCAAGTTTTATTTATCAGTGATGTGGAATAATGTGTCATTCAATTATCGAAATAATTTCCGATATCATCGATAATTTTACACCGTTTATCGGGCGACCGTTGTCGAATTCCATCGCGATAAAAATTTAATACTTTTGAATCAATAAAGTCATCGATAGATTTTCGAACATTTCCTTTAAAATATGTGTCAGTTAAGTATTGTGACAATCGAAATAAGTGAAAATCCGAAGAAGCAAGGTGTAGAAAATAAGGAGCAGTGTGGTACAATTTCCCGGCATATATTAAAAATGACGTCTTTTGTTCCTTTTGACATCTAATGTTGAACGTAATCGTGGAGCACATATAATTGAACGAAAAAATGTTTAAATTAAAAATATTTATTAGAAATGGATAAATATAAAGGTGCAAAATTAACTTACACACCTAATATTTTTATCAAAAAGATGGATCGATCGAAAATTAAAAATCATTCCTAAAAATTGATATTATCAATATTATGCCACTACTTGTGAGTGAAGAAGTTATTATCTTAACGTCTGAATATATATTATAATAGTTTCTGTAGCACATTTCGTATCTTTTTCTTTTCACCCAGAGCCCCAAAAATAATATTAGCCGCTCCAATTCCAGAAATACGACGTGACAATTTAAAAAATGTAAGTCAAGGCCGAAATACAGATACCACGCCGATTTGTAGTCGAATCTGAGAAAAAGCCATTGTACTTCGGAATTTCACGCCATCTTCAAAATAAACGGTTCGTATATCCTCTATATTTAGGCACCGGCCGAGTTAACCTACCATGTGCACGTAGCATACACGCATATAGCGACAGCTGATTCAGCACTTTCGCCGTTTTCTTTTCCCTTTGACGACTCCAAGTACTGACTCGCGTCGTATCGAGTTTCGACACTGCGATGTATGTCCGATTAAGGTAGTTGGCTCGTAAGTTAATTTTCTTAGGAAATTTCTGAAATTTTAACAGCGTATGACAAACAGCGTTGACGAACGATGATATTCTGAATTTTATTTCTGAGTTCTAATTTGGATGAAGCTTTCCAGTTCGGAGATATATTGCGCACAGTTGTAACGCGATGAAAATAGTTTTTCGCGCGAAAGACATCGTACTGTTTACATTCGTAAAGTAGAGCGAATTTTATGAAACGTTTCTCAGCCTCGCGGAAAGTTCCCGTGAAAATTGCGTCACGTCCAGATAGCCGCGTTCTCCGCGATAGCGAAGTGCGACATTATATGAGCAATTACTGGAATGAAAACCTCTGTGTGTCGTCAAGACGATAAAAACGAAGGGTTCTTGCGCGATACGTCGTTTAATCGCAGCGACCCTTGCGCGCACTTCCATCAAACGATGAGAACGAATGGAGTTGCACGTAAAACGAAGACACATTCGAAACGTCCCGTATCGTACCCTTTTATCGCGCTCTGTGTATTACCAGCTCGCGTCGAGATAGAAAACGTGACGTTGAACAACGTCGTTGCGCGAATCCACCGGACGTCAAGATTTTTATTCTTTTTCCCCTTTGATCGATTCACATCCAGATCCGATATGGACTTACGGTGATACGCCCGGCTAATCCGCCCCGTAGACGGGACGGGTCGAGGCGAGAAGTGGAAGTTTAATTAAGTCAGATTACAGAGACCGGAATGAATAAAGTTTCGTCAAAGAGGATCACCTCGAAAGACACCTCGCTCTGGAGAAAGATTCGTCGTGGTTAAAGTAAGGTCGAACGTCTTAGCGCCGATGAATAAATGAAACATTAAGGGATCGCGTTTATATATATATGTTTATATAGAGGTGAAACACCAAAGCGAACATAAGTATGGAAAATGAACATACCTATGTTTCTCGTTTATAACCCTTTGACCGCACATTACTTAAAATGTCACTCCAACATTCGTATGTAGAGTCATATGGACTTTATGCGATTTGCTAAATTCCATATCTGAAAAACTGTAAAAGGAAAGAGGTTGACGCAATTCTAGAATAACATGTAACTCTTCTGCTTTAATGTTTGATCACGTATTCATAGAAAGTCAAGCTTTAAGTTGCTAAAAAAAGAAAAAAAAAATAGAATTTAGTCGTCGGTCTCGCGAATGGTAATGTTTTATTTAAAAATTGTAATTTCTTTACTTTTTATCATTTTGATTTGTAACTAGAGGGTGATGTAAAGTTGAAAGATAGTTCCGGAAAAAATTCGACTCCAATGTGTATTCGAAAAATATTATTTTACGGACCGCAGAAAAGGTCTGTAAAATAATATTTTTGAAATGTCGAAAATAGATGTTTTTATAGGGAAAAAATATTTTTGTTGTGAAAGTATAAAAAATAGTTCTATAATAATTTATCGGACGATACTATTTTATAATGTAAGTATTGAACTTTTTAAATCAATTTGGATCTTGTGTCGATCTTCTGTCACCGAGCCATACGAGAAAACTTAGGATTACGTTGTTCTGTGGACCAACATACCTGAATGTGAACATGCACATAAATTTGAATCCCACATCTTCAACGGGGCTTTTAGAGCTGAAAAACAAAATGGTACGTTGGTCTTGGTACTTTTCCTTTATCCACGCATATGTACGCACTTTCTTCTCGCGTGCACGATACGCGCGATCGTGTACTCGCGTTTTCCCAGCAAACGGAACATTAACGAGCGATTTATGGTACACACTTCGCGGAGCAGCGATCCCATCGGCTGAAATTCAACGTACCGAGACGTCGTCTTCTTCGGAATCGTCGAGAGAGCCCGATCATCCTGTTTTCGCTGGGTATAACAAGCGAGCGCGATTACGCCGGCGTATGAAGAGATTAACTCGGGAAATATCCCGTGCCACTTCACAATTAAACCGTTTGTGCGTTTGTGAAAACACAATTTAATTCCAACTTGTGCAACAGGCGTCCGAATATCGTGCGCGTTTCCGCTTTTCGCGACTGCGTCCAGTTGTCACGCGCAAAACGCGCGGGATTTTAGCGCAATTTCGATGGACATGACAACACGTTTCGGTTTTTATGCTAAAACTTTCCGGCTATTTTTTTACACGCGCTCCAAACGCGCGGTTTGTTACCGCGGCAGATCGATATCGGACGGACAGGAGGAAGGCCGATAGGCGCAGAGGCTCGCGTGAATCCTGCACTGTGTGAATCGGGTATCCATCAGTTGCATCGTTAATTCGCGGAGATGCGCCCAGCTGCGTTAAACGTGTCGCAATTTTCTCCGCCGGTGGCGATCAGCTTTCTTCAACATCGCCGAATTCCTCGATTTTTGTTTTCTTCCACTCGGCGAATCAAACGACGAGCGATATATAATTTCGTATTTGTCCGGCTTACCCCAAGGCAATCGGACGTTGAGCCCGATACTAATGAAAATTCTTGCTATGGCCGGTAATTGAGTCGAAATACGAGATGCATCGGGACTGGAATGTGGAAACTGCGCGCGATACTTTCAACGTATAATCAAACGTTAACGATACTCATTGATGTCGGGGGGATCGTAAACACAATTACCGGAAACTAGAGACATAAAGTTTATGTAACCTGCTCGCCCGCCTTGCAATAATGCCGTCCCTTCACGTCGATGCTATCTCAAGAATTATCTGTCAAAAGGTACCAGCCGGGAGGAAAAATTTCATTTATCGAGAAATTAAATATTGCCTCGTGGGGGGAAAAATCTCGGAAAATCCGCTTCCTCGAATATTTCCTCCATTTATAAACGTCATATATGATTTTTCTGGAATATATTGAAATAATGTGAAATAGTGCGAAGTGAACGGAAGAGAAAGAGAGAGGGTAAGAGAGAAAGAAAGAAAGAAAGAAAGAAAGAGAGAGAGANGGGGGGAATGGAGAAGGAGAGAGCAAAATAATGAGAGATCAGAAAGAATAGTCAAATCTTCGCTGGACAGGAACGAGGTAGAAATATCGACGACTCTCAACACCATACCAAGTGCTCTCTCAGTACCAACTATCGGACCGGTCTCGGTATGCAGCAATGGAAACACTGATGAGGCCTTTGTTGATCACAGGTATCGTTACCTCGCGGTAGAAGCTGCATCGTTGATTCGCGCCTAACAATTAGTCAATTGCGGCTCGGCCGCGCTACTTTAGCAATTTCAGTGACGCGATTAACATCACGCGCCACATTCCGCAGTGGTGAAACATCGTTAAATATACGGCCGCGCGCGAATAATGACTCCTCGCGCCGAGAGGCGAGGAAGGAAAAAAGAACCGGCGATTCCGATTCGAGTAGTTTTTTGATGGACGTCAAAATACAAATCAGCAAACGATGCGCTACACTCGATTGTCCATTAACGAGATTGGCATACATTTCTGTATCGCGTCGCAAATTGCACTTCGGCGTGCTGCATTGTATTGCCAATGGAAGTGTTACAACGAGCCTCTCGTCAGGTCTGTATAATGTTTGCCGATCGCAGTCACATCAATTTTGGGA